CGGCCGGTCCGTGCGCGCCCCCTTCCGGCCGGGGAACGCACGAGCCGCTAGAAAGGTTCCGGGCTCCTGCGGCGGCGGGGAGCGTGAGCGCAGCGGACCGGCGCCCCTTCCGCCTGCCGCCCGGGCCGAGAGAGCCAGCGTGCATGCGCTACCAGCCGGGCGGGGCTGGCTTGGGGCGTGGTGTGTCTGCTTCCCACGGGCGTGGATAATCGTCAATGAAAGAAATAAGTTAATACTTAATAAATACTAATACATGAATAATAAATGAATAAATAAATAATCATTATTATTATTGGCAACGATCATCTTAACAACAATGCCGATTAATAATAATAAAGTAAATAATTAGTAATAATACATGAAATACATTAATAATAAGTAATGATAAATTAATAATAATAATAAATAAATAATAGTTATTATTATTATTGGCAACAACAACCTTAACAATGCCGATTAATAATAAAGTAAATAATAATAAATGAAAGAAACACATTAATAATAAATACATAATAATAATAAACATAAATAAAATTATTATCGGCAATGATAATAGTAACAACAATGCTGATTAACAATAATAATAAATATTATTGGCAACAATAATATTAACAATAATGCTGGTTAACAATAAAATCCTAAATAATAAAATTATTATTTTTGACAATGATAATATTAACAATAATGCCAATCGATACTGATAACAATATAAAATACAATAAATAATAATTAATACACAATACTTAAGTAAACAATAATAAGTAAAATTATTTTGACAATGATATATTAACAATATGCCGATTAACAATAATGGTGATTAACAATAATAATATTGTATTAACAATATTAACATTATTATTAACAATACTAATTATATTATTATTATCAGCATTGTTATTACCAATAATAATTATATCATTATTAATAATATTAATGGTGATGATGACCATCAATTATTATTCACAACATGGAAGTTTATATTATTATCATCATTAACAATAATTAACAGTAATGATAATAGTTAATTATTACTTTAACAATAGTATGTATTATTATAGCATTAGGCCCCAATCTTACACATACGCTTCAGGTGTGATTAGCCAGCTGATCCCCTCTGCAGTTCTGACCTTGCTAGCTTTTCTCCATGAATGACAGGAGAAAACAGGCATCAAGCCACAAAGCTGTTCCACAAAAGATGCGTGGTCACTTTGTGGCTCACACTGTCTCTTGCCTGTGTGGCCGGGTGTTTAGTGCCCCCAATGGCCAAGAGTGGGGTAATAGCCCCCAAGCAGGTTAGGCTGCAGCACTTTCCCACACTGCCTTTGGGTTTTTGCCTCTCATGCCAGGTTGCAGACGGCACCTGGCTGCCTCCATAAGAGGTGCACGGCCGCCTCCCTGGCAGGTGAAGAGCAGGCTGTAGTAGGGGGCAGGTTTAAAACTAACAAGATAAAGGACTTTTATACACAGCAACTTGCTAACCTGTGAAATTCATTGCCATGGGAGGCGGTGGAGGAAGACAGCATGGCCAGGTTCAACAGGGACTGGATAAATGCATGGATAACAACTCTATAAATGGCTTGAACAGAAGGCTTGGAGATGTTTTCTCCGGCATCTCTGACCCAATAATGGTGGATCCCAAAAAGGGTACTGAATACATAGAGGGCGGATCATTTTAGAGGTGTCTGGTTCAATACTTTCCCTCTGCAGTATCAACCCCTGCCACTGCAGCAAACCTCCCCCAAGCTTTACACTGGCGATTTCCAACTTTTGCCACTTGTGCTCTTGCAAGTCCTGCGTAAACTTTAATGACTGCAGCGAGTCACACGCGCAGTGCTCCACAGAGCTGACAAAAGCAGGAGATGGGCACAGGTGCAGGAGACAAAATACAGGCAGAGGCGTCAATCCTGTAAAGAGGAACGTTCCTCTGTAACTCTCTGTGCTGCGGCTTCCCCCAGGGATGCTGAGTAAAATACGGTGCATGTATTTTAGCACATGCAAAGATACACGCTTGAAGAATCAGGGGATTTGTGGCTGAGGGAGGCACGTACCACTCTTCTCTTCTAGGTTCATTATTTATATTGCACCTGCTAGGATTGTCGTTTGTTCTGCATTTTCCCCTGGGTTTTTATATTGTTAAATTAAACCTTGCTTTTTCCTAGGTATTTGTGTGGATGCTTTGTATACTCACTTCAGTAACAAAAGATGATGGTATGATAGAGACACCAAAAATACACGCCAGTTTAAAGCCAACATGTCACATCTCATTGAAACAGTAGAGGGCACCAATTAACTGGAAGATCCAACCCAGCAATCCCTGCCGAGGTGGTTGCAGAGGCCTTTAGCTGACCATCGGGCCTGGGGAAGAACACCACAAAGGTCAAATTGCCCAAAATCTCATGAAACGCACAGGGTTGGCTTGCATACATACGCCTTCTTCAACCACTTCCCCTGTGTTTCCATTGCACAGAAATAATAGAGGCAGCGTGTTGTTGTTTAAAAACTTGTTTTAAAAAGGAGGGATAAGGCTTTTACGGAATAAACTGAGTCCAGGAGCTGGGACTTGAGGAAGCAGCACCAGGGACAGTCATGCCAAGAAGGAAATCCTGATTCCATGGCCTGAGCCCAAGTGGGTTTCAACACTGACTTTGTATTTTTTACACAGTGGTGGATGCAGCATCCCCCTGGCAGTGGCTAAACACATGTTCCCTGCAAGCTGTCCATGGCATCTGGACCTGATACCAGGTCTCAGCAACCAGGAGATCCCCGGCTTGGCCGCCTCTCCCGGCGTCTGCATCACTACCTTCTCCTCCCAACACCTCTCCTTTTCCATTTTCCTGGAAACCTATGAGTGACAGGCATGACTGTGGAGGTCACTGGGGGCCATGATTATGACCTTCAAGGCACCATCAGGGCTGGTCGGGCTCACATCAACACCAAGCACCTCCTGGAATACCTGGGACAAGGCAGGGCCCAGGATTTGGGCGGGTTGCAGAGCATGAAGGATCACCAGCGGTTGCCTTTCCTTCTCATGCAGGTGCACTCCCTTGCCCACACACCTCTAATCCTCCCGGGACGGGAGCCATTCGCCTCGTGCCCTGCCCTGAGCCAATCTGCGCTTTCATCCCGGCTATGACTGGGAGTCAAGTCATGGTAGACACTTAGCCTAGTGAATCCCTTTCTTTCTCCCACCCCCATGTGCAGACCCTCCCAGCAGCAGCCTCTGGGCATAAGGCACCAGCAGGCAGGGAGGAGGCATGCTGCCCGAAACCCCCAGAGCCGGAGAAGCCATGCTCCTGGGGAGGAAGGTGTGCTCTCAGGCAGGCTTCTTGGGGTGCAACGGGCTGAGCTGCCTTAGACAGGTAAGCTTGAGATTTATGTGGTTATTTTTCCTAGTTCAGGGAACTGTAATAAGTTTATTGCTAAAAGACACAGACTTAGGAGCCATTTCTGCACCATGTCCTGCCGGTTATTGGTAGTGTTGTTGATTCTCTAGTGCAGCAGAGATGCAAGTTTCTTTATCGCTACAATTCAGGGATCGACTTCAAATCCATGAATTCTGGATTGAGCCTGCATTTCTCCAGAGTTCAAGAGGGCTTTGGTCTCATTGGGAAATTAAAATGAATGGGACAACAGGTGTTAACATCAAAAAGAAATATGATAATTGCTTTTAACTCTCAGGCCTGACCTGGGCAGAGCCTCTAAGGGCATGTATACGTCAGAAGACCAAGCTCAGGTGAGCAATACAAGACCTGGAGACACTCAGCAGAGAGGATGGAGTCACGATCGGTGAGAATCTAGGCACAGCCCCAAAAATAAATGAATACTTTGGCTCAGCTTTCGGTAAGAACAGTGGCAGTGAACATGGGAACAAAGGCGGGATGATGAATAGGAAAGAGGGCTTATAAATTGAATTACCATAACTGAGGTGGTAGCAAAAATGCAAAAGCTTAATATATGCAAAAGGGGAAAATCCTGTAATTTCCATCTGAAATGACTGAAGAATGGCAAGTGAATTTGCAAATCTCGCAGCATGGATTTTTAATACCTACACTGTTGGTAGGTATCTTTAATACAGAAGAGGATCGGAGTATCTTACAGGAAGAACAAAAAATCTTTGAGGATGGGAGCGATAGAAGCAGGATTAAATTCATGAATACAAAATGCGAGGCCATGCACTTAGAGTAATAACAAGAATTCCTGCTGTGAACCAGGAGCTCAGCTTGGAGGGAGAGAGAAGAGCCTGGATGTCAGAGTCAAAGACAAGATCATTATGATGCGTTAATGTGACATGGTAAACATCACATTATTGCATTAAGATATAACAGTAGAGTGATAGCTGTAGTTTTCCACCCTACGTGACACTGTAATGATGCAGACAAGTGAGTGCATAGTAGCTCACCTCATTTTACAGCTGAACAAATTTCTAAAATGGGATTAAACATGACACGTTGGAAGCACTAGCTAGTTGTCAGATCTGGTTGGTTTTGTTTTGTTTTGGTTTTTTTGCACTGGTAATCTTTGTATTAACTGAAAAATTACAACTCAAATTTATTCCATCCTTCTGGTAAGGAAAAATGTGGATCAGTGTAGGGAAACTCACTGTTAAAAGGATTGAAAATGCCAGAGAGGG